GCAGGGGATAGCTGCTCACCAGCGTCCCAAGGATGTAGCAGAAGGACAGCATCCACGACATGGGTACTTCAAGCACATGGAGCGACCAGTACCTTCCTCTCTTCTTGAGCTCCTCGGACGTGTACGTCGGGCATGCGATGCCGTTCCTGTCGTACCCGACGATGTCCTCCATCGCCGTGAAGTTCTCGGCATGCAGCTCCTCAAGCACCTTCACGTCCTCTACCGTGTACTTCCCTCCGCTCGCTTCCTCCATGCCGTCAAGCTGCACCTTCTTCATGAGGTAGATGAGCAGCTGGGTCAGCAGCTGGTGGGAGGCAACGACGCTGACGGTGCAGGGCTCAGCTGGGCGGATCCCGACCTCGGTGGAGAAGGTGGAGCACTTGAAGTCCCACATACCGGCCGGGTTGAGCTGCCGCAGCTGCTTGCCTATCTGCGTGTCGCTCTCGGACGCGACGACAAAGATGACTTCGGTGTAGGCGCGGAGGAGGTTGGCGACAGCGAGGGAGCCGAAGGTGCCGCCGCTGTGGCTGACGATGAGGACGATGGTGTTGGTGAGCTTCCAGCTCTCCTCGTTGAACTGATGGCCCGTCTGAGGGACCGCAAACTCCTGACCAAACAGGCCCAGCAGCTTGTTGGAGGAGATGACCCGCACTGAGATGCGCGGAAACACCTGCGCGAGGTCGGACGCGAACTGCTCCGCGACCCACAGAGACACTTCGCAGCCCGTGAGCAGAACGTCGATGGAGCCATCGTGAGTGCCGGCCTCGTACCGCTTGAGCCTCTTGATCAGCTCCCGCGAGAACCACCAGGACGTGATGCAGTTGACGCTGTTGCCCTCGTCCCAGTCTTGCTGGATCTTGTTGAGCACGTACGGGATGTCTGCGATGTCCTTCCCTACTGGGTCTGGGTACACGGGAGGAAGCGGCTTGATCAGCGGGTTGTCGTGGAGGCGGACAAGTCGCTTCTTGAAGTTTCCCAGCTTGCCAAGAGTCTCCTGAGACAGCGTGATGGTCAGCTTGTTGTCCATGAGCTGATGCACCGGCAGCTCCTCCGTCATGGCAGATCGCGTCGCTTTTCCTGTCCCCCAGTCCACCAGGCAGACCTGCTCTGTCGTCAACGGACAGACGAGCAGGAGGAGGCAAGAAGAGATAGTCTACAGTAGAGTAGTAGGGTAGAGAAGAGGAGGTTGAAGCAAGTAAGAGAGACAAGGGTAAAGCAATAAGGCAGAGGCAGGCGGAATGAAGGAAGCGATCATCAAGCAAAGCAGCAGCAGGTCTCTCGTACCTCTCCTCCCAGGTCGTCCAAGTCAAGACGAACGGCTCCATCATCTTCGTGTCCGGCTCCTGACGGCAGCGTCAGAGAGTAGCAGGAGCAAGAGTTGAGGTCACCTGCATATCCGCAACGGCTGCACTCATGGATGGCAACGAAGTGCTTCGAGTCTCCTGATCACGAATGAGGATAACAAAATTTGAATGCGACCAAGGAGCTAAAAGGAGAGGTAGAGGTAGAGGTAGAGGTAGAGGTGAAGGTAGAGGTAGAGGTAGAGGTAGAGGTAGAGGTAGAGGTAGAGGTAGAGGTAGAGGTAGAGGTGAAGGTAGAGGTAGAGGTAGAGGTAGAGGTAGAGGTAGAGGTAGAGGTAGAGGTAGAGGTAGAGGTGAAGGTAGAGGTAGAGGTAGAGGTAGAGGTAGAGGTAGAGGTAGAGGTAGAGGTAGAGGTAGAGGTAGAGGTAGAGGTAGAGGTAGAGGTAGAGGTAGAGGTAGAGGTAGAGGTAGAGGTAGAGGTAGAGGTAGAGGTAGAGGTAGAGGTAGAGTGCAGGTAGAGGTAGAGGTAGAGGTAGAGGTAGAGGTAGAGGTAGAGATAGAGGTGAAGGTAGAGGTAGAGGTAGAGGTAGAGGTAGAGGTAGAGGTAGAGGTAGAGGTAGAGGTAGAGGTAGAGGTAGAGGTAGATCACAACGTGCATTTTCACCAAGAGCCAAAGCAAAAGGTAGACACAGAGGTTGCTCTGTTCACTCACCCACAAGCGCTGCCTTCACCGCCGCTTGCTCAGATCCCCAAAGCTGTGCTGATGTCAACCCACGCCCACATGTTGTGCTTGACTTCTCTCACCACCACTCCCGAGTTGGGATAGAAGGCTAGAGAAATCGTTTGACCCCTTGCCGCCAACACGATTTGTCGCTGGTTGTGCGGGTCAGAATAGCGACAGAGGACAAGAAGCAAAAGCGAGATAGAGCTGAGCAGAGAGAGATAGAGCTGAGCAGAGAGCGAGATAGAGCTGAGCAGAGAGAGATAGAGCTGAGCAGAGAGAGATAGAGCTGAGCAGAGAGAGAGATAGAGCTAAGCAGAGAGCGAGATAGAGCTAAGCAGAGAGAGATAGAGCTAAGCAGAGAGCGAGATAGAGCTGAGCAGAGAGAGATAGAGCTGAGCAGAGAGAGATAGAGCTGAGCAGAGAGAGATAGAGCTGAGCAGAGAGAGATAGAGCTGAGCAGAGAGCGAGATAGAGCTAAGCAGAGAGAGATAGAGCTAAGCAGAGAGCGAGATAGAGCTGAGCAGAGAGAGATAGAGCTGAGCAGAGAGAGATAGAGCTGAGCAGAGAGAGATAGAGCTGAGCAGAGAGAGATAGAGCTAAGCAGAGAGCGAGATAGAGCTGAGCAGAGAGAGATAGAGCTGAGCAGAGAGAGATAGAGCTGAGCAGAGAGAGAGATAGAGCTGAGCAGAGAGAGATAGAGCTGAGCAGAGAGAGATAGAGCTGAGCAGAGAGAGAGATAGAGCTGAGCAGAGAGCGAGATAGAGCTAAGCAGAGAGAGATAGAGCTAAGCAGAGAGCGAGATAGAGCTGAGCAGAGAGCGAGGTAGAGCTAAGTAGAGCATGGCAACGCTGACGGTAGACAAGACAGCAACAGAAAGTCATCACGGCTATTGTGTCTCACATGGGAATCAAGCGAGCAGGAGACGCACAGTCCGAAGGATCCCTTGGCCCGTGACAGGAAGAACCTGGTGGCCTGACCACAATCATCACCTCCCATGCAGAGATCAAGCCACCAACATCCGTAACACACCTGGAACAGATCTTGGTCGAAGAACGCATCTACAGCTGTGTTGACAAGGCGATTCACATCTCCGCTCTCTGCATTCAGTCCCAGAATCTGTCTACGATATCAATACTGACAACATCGCAGCCTGACGACCTTCTTTGACCCGAACGCCTCGACGAGGTTTGACTTGACCTCCTGCCTGCAAGACAACCAACATCATGGCAATGAACAGGCAATCACTACCAGATCTCATCGCTCACCTCAAGATCCTTCGATCCATCTTTGCAGTTTGGACAGTCTTCTGAAAGACATCATCGGCGATTCTCGCCAGAGAGACGAAAGCTTCCTACACGCCAACGATTATTTGATTCAAACAGCCTACACGCCTGACCTTGGGAGGGACTTCATACTTGAGAGATGTGCGTTCAGGGCCGAACAGAAAGCCGAACCGAAGGGAATGAAACCAGAGCCCCTGACTCGCAAGTCAGCAGCTCCTCGGCCCCAGCAGGGTGCCGCATCACTCCACCTGCGTCCTCATCACGTCCATGACTCCCGCGACTCCCGCGCTGTCAACGGTCGACGGGCACGGGTGATAGCTAGAGGCCATCGTCATGCGCTATCCTGCCACCAGCCATACCTACTTGACTCGGGCCAACCACTCCATGATGTCCTCCAGAGGGTACGTCGAGCCTCCCAGCTCGAGAGCATCGAAGTCTCCATTGTGACAGATGTAGACCTGAGAAAATCTCAAGACGTCAAAGCGATCGCATTCACCACATCACATGAGAAGTCGGTATCATCACATCACATGAGATGTCGATCAGTTGTTACCTCAACATTCTTCGTCGTCTTCATCCATGACGTCTTGTCCTCCCAGAAGGTGTAGTCCGCGGCTGGCGTCCATTGATGTGGGTGCTGCATCGGAGGATCAGCAGCAGGAGCAACACATCCACGTCCTTACCGTCCCATCAAGCGAAGCTTTCGATGACGTCGCAAACCTCGTGTGCCCCGCATACACTCGAACGTCGTCGCGCAGCCCGTAGCGGAGGCTTGCCCAGAGCTGGTCGTGCCACAACTATCGCAGGCGGTGAGGGACAACAGCAAGCAGTGGACAGGAGGGGAACCTTGGAAGTGACGAGCTCAGATAGATCTGTTCGCTTGCCGTTGACTACTCGACTTCTGATTCCCTTGAGCCCATCCTTCTTCGGCACATAGGTGACAATCCCTCCAGACTGCGCGCCTCGCATCATGGTGATTCGAACCATGGTCTTGAGGAAAGAGTACACTTGTCCTCTCTTCTCCTTGTCGAATATGATGATTCCAAAGTTCCCACAGTGAAAAACTTCATCGCTTGCTGACCCGTGATGTATGCCAAGCAGGTCGGAGCACAACGAGTCAATCAAGGTAAAGAAAGCTGCTATCTTGCAAGATCCGCTGAAGCCCCTCGCGCAGACGACCAAAGTCACCGCCATGCTTCCTATCCATCCTGCATGACGTATGAGAGTTGACCGCCATCCCTCAGCCCCCTTGATTGTCACGCGCTGATGCAGCAAGGCGTCCACAAAGTTGCTAATTCGCAGAGAGCGGTGGGCGAGGCCGACGAGAGCAGCAGCAAGCAGATGAAATGCCTCGTGCAGAGCAAGAAAAAGAGTGTAAAAGGAGGAGAAAGATATCATCTCTCCCAACAGAGTGCACAGCCGGTGATATGCTGTCTGCCCATGGACATTCTCCTTGGTAAAATCGTCGAACAAGAAGCTTTCCGGAGCCTTGGGAGCTGTGGAGCTCGAGTGGAAATAGCTCTGGAAGGCCTGAAATGTGAACGAGGAATGAGATACGAGGAGGAGAGCGTGAGAGATCAGCAGGAACAGCAGAGCCGCCGCGTGCTGCTGCCATCGCAAGGCTCTCCGCGTTACCGCCATTGCGGGCTAACGCAAGAGAGTCATTGATGGAGGGGTTGGTAGTTTGTGGGAGACGAGGGGGTCGTGCCTCGCGTGCTGAGAGTCGCAATCTCATGGCTGTTGGGGTTTTCTCGTGGTCGGGGGAGTGGGGGGGGCAGAGGGGTGGGGTGATACTACCTTGGTGAGGGGCCTGTGGGGAAGGGGTACAGATGGAGGGGGTGGGGTCATCGACCACAGGTACAGACGGAACCAGGACGAGTGTAGGGGCTCACTGGTACCGCGGAAGTGAAGGGAGAGGTGGGGGGTGGTCACAGGTACCATGCTAGGGTCATCTAAAGTTAATCAAGGCACGAGAGGAACTACCCCCACTTCCGACATTGAGGGGTAGTAACATGACCCCTCCTTTTTCATGTGTTGAGGGAAGAGGATGGGGGTAGGGGTCATGCATATGATGCAGTAGTGGGTTGTTCAACCAATTTAACGCAGTACGTAGTTGGCTCAATGAAACCTTTGCAACCAAATGTTGAAAATTTTGAGATGTTCTCTATCAATTTCGAAACAAAGTCAGAAATTTGGAATACGGACGTGGGTGTCATTTTTTTTTTTTGATTGTTCACTTTACAAACTAGCTGTTAGGCACGACTACTCCAGTGATCAGGCTTTGCAAGTGATCACTGATTTTCAAGTTTCTTGTAGTCACTGATTTTCAAGTTTCTTGTAGTCACTGCCGGCTTGCCGGGCCGGGCCGGGGTCGACACTCGCCGTCGGAGTCACTGACTGAGGAAGAATTTCATCCGACATCATCACGATGGTGAAGACACTGACTCGCATGATCGCGGGAGCAAACAAAGGTGCTGCAAGAAGACGCATCAAAGCAAAAAGTTAGCTGCGAAGTGAGAGGAGGAGGTGGAATAGGCAGGAGCAGGAGCAGGAGCAGGAGCAGGAGCAGGGGCAGGGGCAGGAGCAGGAGCAGCGGTTGCCTGCTCAGAGGAAATGATGGAGCCATTGCTCTCAATGAGATCGCGATTAAGAGATATCAACTCCTGCGCGCTCATTCCAAACTTGCTGGCAGCAGAGGATGCCATGATGAGTAAGTAGAACAGGTCGGCAGTACTGGTCACCTCGCCAGCTGATCGATTGTGTTCCCGGGCTGGACTGCATAGAGCTGGCCGACCCTGCAGGTAACGATCAGTGGCGTTCCGAGAGGAGGAGGAGAGAGGAAGGTAACCTTGCAAGCAACCCTCTAGGGATGAGCGACTTGGGCGATCGTATCCCTACGTTGAGGGCCCAAATCTGACGCTGAGAGTCAACAGGACGAGGAAGAAGAGGAGGGGACCTGTATCCAGTTGGTGTTGAACAGCATGGCGATCGAGTTCAGGTCTTCTCCTGCCCTGTGGGGAGCGTGAGGGAGGAGGAGGAAGCAGTTGAAGCAACCAGACCTGACAGCATAGAAGCACTTGACCACCCAGACTCCGATGCAGCTCGTGGTAGTCTGCGCGTGAAGCTCGTACCGCTAGCTCTCTCTCCTCTCTCTCTCCTCCCTTCCTCCAACAGATTCACCTTGTTGCTCCGCGTGACGAAGCCGCTGCGTTGCTCGTCCTCGTCAGGAAGGGAACGAGAAGTCCTCTAGGGCTCTCTCTCACCTCGGCAGCCGCGTCCCAGAGTTATCATGCGCAGTGAAGCATAGCAGGAAGGGATCAGACCCGCCGTACCAACGGGGAGGGGCCCAAGTGATCCTCCTCGACTGTATCCTTCCTCCTGCTCCCTCATTCAGCACGCTCATCCACCTCATGCTGATCTTTCACCAAGGGACCCGACTTGTGGATAGACGCGAAGGTCGCTCGGGGGATTTCCAGTCTGAATTGTCGGAGTGAGGACGGAGGGGTGAAAGGAGGAGGCGGACGAACAAGGGAAGAGGCGAGCTCGACATGGTCGAAACCAACTTCGAACGCGAGGATCTCGATGTCCAGTCCTGTACCGAGGTAGCAAGAGACCTGCTCCTGTCGATCACTTCCGCCCGCCTGCTCTCCTGCTCTCGCCTCAGCCCCTTCTGCTCTTCTGCTCTCCTCCTGTGCTCTGCTCTGCTCTCCTCGTCTCCTCTCCTCTTCTCCTCTCGCTTCCAGCTACTTTCTCTCATTTCTCCAGCTCACCTCCTGTTACCTTGTGGATCTTTTGCTGGGAGATGATCCCACGGAGGGAGTATTCTTGACATCCTTCGCCTCCCCGGGACACGTAGAGCTCCGGCTGGTACCTGACGCCCTCAGTCACTCGATGCGAGGCCAGGAACTCACGCGCCTGAAGCCGGAGCCTTGTTGGAGGATCGTAAAGTTTGTGATGCTACCCGACACGCCTCTATCGCTCCCTGCGTAGCTGTCAGAGAGGACGAGGACGAGGACGAGGACGAGGACGAGGACGAGGACGAGGACGAGGACAAGGAGACTACTTATTACCGGGCTCTGCTACGTCGAACCTGGCAAGGAAGCCAGTTCCGAACCCTCCCAGCGGCCGCGCCCTCAGCTCTCCTCCTCTCGAGCAGCCGAACCCTCCGCTGATGATTTCCACAGCCTCGATAGAACCTAGCAGGGAATTTTGCTCGATCCTGCAGGCAGCTCAGCATGAAGACTTCTCCTTCTCTCCCTCCTCAGACCTGCTCACGTAGTTGAAACTCCCGTCCACGTGCACGGATGAACAGTTGAAAGGAGGCCGGCAAGGGTCCCGGAGGACGGGGAGCTTGCATTTGCTCACTGAGACCTGGGGATAACCGAGATTGTAGCTCTTGCAAGGGACGTCCAGGCCGGTAGTTTGCTCTTGGAGGAGGAGGAGGGTCAGAAGGCAGGAGGAATGTAGATTGGCGCACCTGAGATCGCAATTGTGGGAGCAGGATCCGGAAACACGTCGACAGGAAGGCAAGTGACGTCAGTGAAGAGGTCTTGTCGCATACCTCCCCCGCACTGGCAGCAGACCTCGAAGAGGGAGTTCAAGGGGAAGGCCTGGACGATCGGGACCTTGTCAGGAGGAAGCGAGTAGTTGAGGCTGCTACGAATGCAGTCTGAGCGGCTGATAGAAGAGCAGTCCATCCTCAGGTAGGAGAAGACCTCGGTGTAGTCCGTACATGTCACCGGTACCCGTCCTTGGAAGCACTGGGTGTACCCCCCGGTCTCCATCACGTTGGGCATGTGATGCCATTGGAAGGTTGCATTCCCGTCGCTCAGCACGCTCTCGAGGTTCCCAGGATACCCTCCAGCTGACAGAACCTGCAAGCTGGGGGTTCCCTGGACCAGGTACACCGCCTCGAACTCTTCGTTGACCTGCATGACGTCTGTAGCCTGCCCCGACAGCCCGTGGTGGAACGAGACGTCGAGGGGAACGAGCCCTTCCATCCCCGTCACCTTGTTGTGCAGGTTTCGCACCTCCTGGCCCAGCACCTCGACCTGGAACTCGAGCATTGACAAGGCAGGAGGCACGACCCCGCACTCGCTCCTAACATAATCCGGTGCCTCCCCTCCCCTCGCAAGCGCCAGCTCCCTCATCTCTTGCACTGTCTGATCGGCAAAGGACTCGCACGACCCTGAGATGTCCAAGTTGGCGGCGAGAGGAGCGAGGAAGCTCTGATTCTTGCAGCGGAGGAGGAAGACGGACGACGAGACGTCGCGGTAGGAGCGGCTGAAGCAGCTTCTCGAGCTCTGGTCCCAGCAGCAACCCATGCTCGCACACGCGCTCTCAGTGATCCCGTCCCACCCGCAAGCATTCCTCTCCAATGGCGCGAAGGTCTTCTGTTCCTTTGCACAAGAACCAACAAGTCCAGGAAAAATGGTGATGGTGAAGGAGGAGGAGGAGGAGGAGGAGGAGGAGGAGGAGGAGGAGGCTGCGTCGCTGACGTTTGTGGGCTGACCAATGCCGCCGCTTCCCAGGTACATCATGGCGATCTCACGCGTGCTCGAGACTCCAAATCTCGACAGCAGCTTGCAGTCTTCTGGATGGCAGCTTGAAGGGATCTCGATCTCTTGGTCGATGGGAGGGATGAAGCTGCTGTTCTCGTTAGGAACCAAGCACAGACACTGTGACCTGAGGACGCGGGCAAGACGAGCTGAGCGCGGGGTCAGGAGAACACGGTGAAGAGACGCTCGGAGCTCGAACATGGAGGAGCCGTTGGACATGTCAAACCCTTCTATCCGCGGCAGGAGAGTGCCCTCGATCCTCGCGTCGAAGTCCAGGGAGTCGTTGACGCAGGGAGGAGAAGAGAGGTTCAGGGCACGAGAGAATTCTTGAAGCCTGATGACCACGTCGAAGGATCGAGGAGAGATCGAGACGGTAGTGTTCCATCGAAACGCCTCCCCGACGGTCGTCGAAGTCGAGTTGGGCTTGTTCACCTGCGCAACCGTCACTCTCTTCCTGAGTTCACCAAACCAGCTGGACCTGAGCTGGGAGTTTGCAGCCGCTTGACTCGTAGAGCCCGTCGAGTCCGACAAGGGGAGGCGGCGGTAAACCATCGACAAAGCTCCCTCCTCCGCACTCGCAACAAGCCTGATACGCGCTCCTGCCATCGCTTCCTGTCTCCTTGCAAAGTCCCTGAGCATAGAGCTGAGGGCAAGTCACCCCCGACGAGCTTGTCCACTGCAGAGGAGAGTCCACACAAGATCGTGATGCAGGAGGAGGCGGCAGACTGACTGCCAAGGAGAGAGCATAGAGCGCTGGCTCTACCGTATCAAGGACGTGGATTCTTCCATCCTCCTGCATCGAGAAGCAAGCGGCGCAGTCGCCGTTCTTCGTCGAGCAGCATCCCCTTGTGCTCTCACACCTGCCTGACTGCAGCTTCGTGGTGTAGCAGGACATGTTGCTCGGCATCGTCCATGACGCTCCTCCTGCTTCAACTCCCGCGTAGCCTGTGCCAGCGAAGCGAAGAAAGGCATCGCTCCTGCTCACGTTCATCTGGCCAGCACAGAAGGAGGGAAAGCAATGCGAGTAAGGGAAGCAGTCCACGTCCTCCAGCAAGGGAACCTCTCCACCCTTCGTGCACACAGCCAACCTCCCTGCCTCGAGGCACCTCATCGCCAGCTGGGAAGTGCATGCCCTCGAGCTCACCCCGACCCCAGGAGGACGCATCCTTACTTCAAGGTCCGACCCACTGAAACTTCTCCACACCGCTACCGCCCCAATGCTGCCGGAGAACCCAGCTTGCAGCCTCGCTCCGTCCAGCTGCACTGCCAGCTGAAAGGGAGTCTCTGCCTGCCATGTCAGCCCCGCAAACCTGCAGCATCCTCGGACTGCAGCTGGCATGGTACCGCCACTGCTGAGATCTACCTGCTTCATGGTCGTCCAGACCACCTGGAACGTGTCCTCCTTCACGTCCATTCCTCTAACCTCTCCTCTCATCTCCTCCTCCTCCTCTCCGAGCACGAACACTAACGGCTCCCGCCCTCCAAGCTGGACCACATCCCCCAGCATCACCTGCCCGTTGGGTCCAGACCCAGCCATGCCCGACCCCGATCGTGCGAACGAGCCGTGAAACACGAAGGACACGCTATTTCCATTGCTGGTCCAGGTCAGCCCTCCTCCTCGCCACTGCGCTGATGCCATGGCTGACCACAGAGCGACCATGGCCACAGTCAAGATGCTCCTTGCTAGCAAGGACTGCATCCTGCTGCTTCTCCTGGCTCCTTGAAGTCTCTTCAAAGTCTTCCTCTTCGCCTCATCTTGACCCTCGTCCTTGTCCTTGTCCTTGTCCTTGTCCTTGTCCTCGTCCTCGTCCTCGCCCCTCCTGCTCCCTCCCTCTCATCCTCAAACCCTCCAGTCAAACTGTCCTTGACGTCCGTTTGTTTCACAAATTTGACTTATTGTCCGACATTTTTTTAAAAGAAAAAAAACGAACCCGTCTCTCTACTCTACTCTACAACTGAGCAGCTCTACAAGTGTCTACGACGGCAACTACTACACAGGTGACCTTGGGAGAGGACAGGAGAGGAGCGAGGAGAGGAGCGAGGAGAGGAGCGAGGAGAGGAGCGAGGAGAGGAGCGGGAGACGAAGAGGAGGAAGGGGACTGGGAAAGGATCAGGATCAGGATCAGGGAGAGGAGGAAGAGCATCTCCTCGGGCCTCTTTAGAGCAACATCCTGCACTTTAGAAGGATTGTCGGACGAAAAAGGAGCTTGCGGTGTCAACATTGGAAAGCATGACGAGAACAGAAGAAATCATAGATGATGAAGATAGGAGAAAGATTGGCGAAGCATCATCTCAATCTTTTCAAGGTTCCCAACATCAACCTGGCAGGCACCAGTAACTTGCATTTCGACCTTTTTGAACTACCGACAGGTGCAGGTTTATTGGCAACAAGAACACAAGGATCTCTATCTTGCGTCGTTGCACATTTTCTGCTCTCCTCTTTGGCATACTCGTCTTGTCTTCGATCGCCTGTCGTCAGTTCATGCTTGAGGGCGTCACGGCACTACAGGCATTGTGCGAATTGTTTCTTGGCAACATCCGAGCTCCCGCCTCGATGCGAGAGAACTGAATTAAACCACGTGTATTATACGTGCCTTACACACTCCACCCGCCACTTGGACGATGTATCCTCATCGTTCTTCTTATCTTCACTACGACAGCAATGAAGATGCTTTGTCACTTTTTTCTACCTACTTCCTTCATAGTTTCTCAAACACCCTTCCTTTCCCATATCCTTCCTGTCTTTCATCGTCGTCTACCGACGATAAGTTCTCCCTGCTTCGTCCTCTTCTCGCCTCTTCTTCTCCTCGTCCTGCGCCATCCCTACCCCCTTCGGTCCCTCACTGCCATTGCCGAGGAGTATGCATATAACAGCATGGGTACTCAATTTAGGTGGTGGGTGGTAGCTTCCATGGGTGGTCCCGTACGGGCAAATCCAGAAAGGAAAATGCCCTTGTTTCAAGGGTATGGGTAGGTAGAGATAGTATTAAGGGGGTAGGGGTATATTTGAAACGGGTAGGGTGGAAAATAGATTCGGAGGCAAGGTCAGAATGGCGGGATCGCAATGGAGGAGATGCGAACAAGCGAAGGAGGAAGAGGAGGAGGAGGAGGAGTGAACGAGGAGCAGAACAGGTTCAGAAGAAGTGGAGAGGAGAAGAAGAAGGTGGAAGATGGGAGGGGAGCGAGCCTGAGGCGGCATGGCGATTGTGTCACAGGAACATTTCGAGGATTGAACAAGGTGGGAGTAAGAAATAGCAGCGTTGAGGAGAAGTCAGCAGAAGAGGAAGGAGGGAGTCAGACCAATCTGAAAGGAATCCCATCAAACTTCATGCATACTTCCTGGTCAGATTCCTCAGAAAGAAAGATCTATCATCGTAGAACAGGGTTGTCATGACTGGGGTGTGGCTGTACTTCGATCTTACCAGCAACGAGGATAGAGAACCTGTTTCATTCACCAATGATGCCATCGTGACGAAGAGAAATGTCGCGATCTTCTTGTCCTCTGAAGGCGGCAGCTCTAGGACCATCGTGACGGCGATCAAAGACATTCAGGATGAGGCGCACAAGATACATGAATCCTGCCTAGTCTTGTCTGCTGCCAGACCCAGTCTCCTCGACTCTGAGCATTCACAGTGTCTCTGTATAGGCGATAGGATAATCGCCATCGATGATCAGAAGCTATACAGCAAGGGGATTCATGAAGTCTTGTGGACAATCAAGGCAATCGCTTCTCGCGGGGAGATGTTGACCAGGGTTGTGTTCCAACGGCCAGTGTCATGTACAGTAGTGAGCTTCAGGATGAGAAATGTGGTCGTGAAGACAAACCTTCCGGATCCAAGCAGCTCCGAAGCCAACAAGAGACTGTCTCATACAGATTATTCTTTTCGTATGCCCCCCAGTGATCCGAAAGACTCCAACGGCAAGCATAATCTTGGTCATCCATTCATCCCCGACCAGATGATTCCAACAGACACACCCGTACAACTCTCCAGCGTCAGCTCGAATAGAAGACCAGAGCGGGGATCAGACCTCCCTATCACTAGCGGATTGGGGTCGGGCTTCACAAGTCATGAGGAAAGGGAGTTTAGAAAAGCTTCTTCTTACAGCAGTTTCCTGGGAGCTGACACGGCACCTAGACTGTCAGGATCCGAGGTTCCATAATTGTCTTTGGTAGTCAACCTTTCTTACTTTTTTGCGTCTTCAGGCGGTACGGAACCCTATCGGAATCGGTAAAGATACCAGCACTTTGTTTTGTTTTATCACCTGTCTAATTTAGATGTGTAGCAATTGATTTGAAGAACAAGTCGGCAAGTTTTCAAGAAAGTAGCAACAGACAAGAATCCAGCAAGAGACAAGAATCCAGCTACAAGCAAGAAACCAGCAGCACAGGGATACACGGATCATATGTCTTGAAGCCTGTGATGACAGCTAGCAATCACACTGCTCAGCAAGGTATTTCGTCCCCTGAAAAACAAATTCTTGGTGCGATTCTCTGCTTCATATTTCGACGCAGCCGAGAGCTCTTACTCTTACCATAGCTGCGACAAACTCAACGATGTTGAGCCAATCTTGGAGTGAGCGAGGGCCTTCATCGACTCTGCTCCACTCCTCGAACGTCCCCGACGACAATCTACTAGGGAACGTTTCCGACAGGTTTCATGGGATGAAGCCTTTTCCTGTGGGACAGCCTACCATGCTTTGGTCGTTTGCTTACTTGAACGCCAGTTCCACAGATGCCGAGATGGGACTCCCTTCTGGAAAGGCCGAGCTGAGAAAACCATGTCCTCCCTGCAGGTGACTTGACATCCCAAACTAGCGTGTTATGGATGGTCAAATGCTTGTGCTGCAGGCTGCGGAGGATGCGGCGAGATCGAGGATAGAGACAGCGACAGACGATTCACGGAGAGATTCAGAACCTCTTTTCCGAAACTTCACCATCATGACACCGCGCAACTTGAACTCGGACGAGAGCAGGAGGAGTCGAGAGATCGGCAGAAGCAGCGGGCAAGCAGAGATTGCTGCAGCCAAGAACAACTCTAGAGAGTCCTTCTCCAGTCAGTTCTGGTGAGTTCGACTGATCTGAAAACCTCTGAGATGACGCGATCTCAAAAGGTCCCCTGCCGCGAGAGCAGCCAAGGATCGACATTCAACGCCTGATGATTTCAGCGAGGTGAGGCCGATGCGACTTTTTCGATGACTCCGGATGTTGAGACTGGTGAAGGACGAGATGAAGAGAGAAGGGACTCACTCTCCATCAAAGAAGAACGAAGGTATGCTATCTACACCCTCGTTCAAGCTGATCCGGATCCATGCTCCAGCTCATGTTGAGATGGACTATGTCATGCTCGGATCGAAGATCGTTCCTCTCTCGGAGTTTCAGAGCATGGACGACGCGATGGCGAGCTTGGTTGCAGGAGGGCTAGTGCAGGAGGAGGAGGAGGAGAGGCGGAGAAGCGGCGGCGCTATTGTGATGAGAGAGATCACTTTCTGAGCCTGTCGGAGAGCTTTCTGCAGTTTCTATGCTACTACCCACCCCCGAATGTCCAAACCCCTGACCTGTAATACCAAACCCTACCCTTTTACTTATATTTGATATGAAAATGACCCCATGTATTATCATTACCCCACCTCCACAATCACATTTCCTCATACCCCTACCCTCCTATTGTTGCAACTCCTGGCGAACAACCATGGCGAGCAAGAACGCGCTGGCTCGGCTCATGGGGAAGGTGAAGGCGATGGTGCCAACGGCACTTCAGCCGATGGCGATCAGCTTGGCCTTCAACTCGCAGGCATGCCTTCCTCCTCTCATGCTCATCCTGACCCCGTCAAAGGTGAAGTTCGCTGGCACAGCAGGGATCAAGTTCGAGGCACTGGAAGAGCACAGCTCGGTATGCAGACTCGTTGAGAGGTTGGCGGCAGGGAGGAAGCTGATCCCCTTGCACCCCCAGGTTCTATCGCTGAAGAATCGCTTCTGGGTTCAAAATCACATCAAGTAAGCTCCTTGTCCTCGCAAACTCAACGGGGCTGACGCATTGGTGCAAGAGGGGTGCATGCATGCGGCATGGCGCTTCTCGCAGAGACAGCGACAGGTTCCGTGATCGGCATGAACGTCCCCGACAGTTGCATCCCCCTCCTCAAGTCGATGACGGTGGAGTACCTCAAGGTGAGACGCATGGCTGCTGCCCGTACCTGATCTCATGTTAAGGTTGCCAAGGGGGACCTGAAGGGAGTGGCGACGCTCGATGAGGAGCAGCGGAGGCTGATCCGTGAGAGCGAGAAAGGAGAGCTCGTCGTTCCTGTCAAGATCACGGACTCGGAGGTTTCGCACGCGCACGTCGCATGCTGCAGAACGCTGAACATAGACACGAGCAGGGGAAGGAGCCTATTCGCGCGACAATGCTGTGGGTGAGCTGCGGACGCGCTGTGCTGCTAACTATTTGACATGTTGCAACAAGGCATGGATTCCCCGCACGAGGAAGGCAAAGGCGGAGTGAGAGGAAGCAGCAGACTGGCAGCTGAGTGTATATAAGAGAACAAACATCTCTAGTTTCAAGTATGCAGCAAGCACTTGAGGTGGAAAGACGTCTGAAATGTCGTCAAAGGATTAGTTAAGAGGGGAGGGGATCGGGAATGAAAGGAGAGGGGAGGGGAGGAGAGGAAAGGAGAGGTGAGGTGAGAGAGGAGGGGAGAGGGTTGAGGGGAAAGAGGAGGAATTCAATCGTATCATGTTGCAGACAGAAAGCGCCGTCATCATGCCACTCTGCATATGCGGGTATCGCGCGCTGCTTCAATCTCGCGCCGGTACCATACCCCGGCGGACAGGCTCTCATGTCCGCAAGCTCGGCCGAACGCGGGGGAGGGAAGGGAGGGAAAGGCGGGGGGAAGGGGGGGATGAGTAAGTCTTACACATGTTCACAAAGATACCTCATGCTGCGATGCGCTCCTCTCCCTCCCTTTGTTCCGCCTGGGGCTGATTCAGTTTACCTTCCTTCTCCTCGTCTCCATCATTTTCATATTGTCGTCCTCCCTCCAGCCCCTCTCAATGATCTCAATCACCCTGCTTCATGTCTCTTTGGAGATCCCTCTCCTACCGCAGCTTGTCCTCCTGAAGTATCTGTTTCAAGGGACGACCTTCCCCTTCCTTCCTACATGAAATACCTATCAGCCTCTCCCCATTTACCAGCTTACCCAGCTCCTGCTACTGCTCCTGCTCCTGCCCCTGCTGCCCCTGCTGCCCCTGCTGCCCCTGCTGCCCCTGCTCCTCCTGCTCCTCCTGCTCCTCCTGCTCCTCCTGCTCCTCCTTCCCTTAACCCCCCTAGTACCTCCTCCCCTCCTTCAGTGCTACTCTCACCGGAGGCGTAGTGTGATAAGATTGTAGGGGTACCTCTGTTACCCTACCCCCTAATTAGTACTCAGAATACCGGGTATTGTATTTAAAGAACGGACCACCTAACCCTAAGGTTGGACGAGAGTTTTCCTCCAGTTTCATGCATCGATACCTGGCGAGCGATAGTGGAAGAGGGCGATGGCGGGGGCAGGGAGGACGAGGACGAGGATGCGAGGGATGAAGGATGAGAAGGAAGAGCGAGGGAGGAAGGTTGATACCTGTGGGACGAGAGCGACAGGGGGTAGATGCAGAATGGAAAGTAGTACCATGAAACTAGGCGCTGTGAAAATTTTCGTGGAACGTGATGTCATCGTGTGGGTCAGCATGGGGAGGGAGGAACGAGGAAACCATAGGAAATATCATGAGCATGATGAAGAAGTTGATTGATGCGCTCGAGTGAGAAGGAACAGGACGAAGCAACTCACTGTTGCTACAAAGTACACGTCAAAGGGATTTGCTTGCTCGCCAACATTCTTTTTCTGCAGCTTTTCGGAATCGAAGAATGCCGGCCCCAACCCATGGGTCCATCCGAGGTCTCTTCTTCACCTGAGACGTTCTGTGCTCGAGCTGACGAGGGTGGCAGATATCGTGAAGCAGCGAATCATTGCTGTAGTGCGAGAGGTGAAGGCGGCAGACAGCATGAAGGTGGGACAGAAGCGCGTGCTTGCGGTCTGCTTGACGTTGTACATCAGGTTTTGATTCTAGATACTCCAACCCTGAAGACTATCAGTGCTGGTGAGATGTTTGTCTCTTTGTGATGAAGGAAAGGAAGTCATGTTCGCTCTAGTTTGCCGCACCATGGAGATTATCGAAGAGGGTGTTTCTTTGCTGGAGAACTTGGAGAGGAGGAGGCAACCGATGCCGGGCATGCAGGTCTGTGAGGTCATGACCTGTGTGGAAGATGAGTGGGAACGTGTTGTCAGGCGATCTACATCATTCACCCGAATGAGGATTCTATTGAGAAGGTAACTACATTCTTCTTTATTGGGTGTGTGCATAAAGTGGATATCAGGTGAAGAACGATTTCAAGTCAGCGCAAGATAGCATGTAAGGGCTGCAGGCTCCAACTCGGGATGTTCGAGGTATCGTAACGAGTGTTTCAAGGTATGCCGGAGCGCATATTTACCTTACATCGCACATCTCAAACGACCTGATCTATTCAATGCGACAAGTAAGATCCGTTGTTGTTTGCTATGATTTACACTATTCTGACTTCTTTTCAAGTGTAATGAACTTGTTCAAAGGACGAAATCGTTGAAAGAAGTATGTACCTTGCATCAGCTCTCCTCTCCCTTGGCGAGGCTGAAATAACGGGATCTTTTACAGTTGAATTTCGAATTTGTTGCTCTCGAATCGCAAGTAAGGGCTGCGGATGAAACGATGTACGTTCTGATAGAAGACATGCAGTGTTACTCCCTGGGACTACATGATGCCTTCCGTACACTCTATTCACCCGTCACTGTAGCTAAGAACGCCATGGTGAAATCTTGAGTTCACTTCCTTTCCACATCCGTCTCCTCCTCCTCTTCATCCTTTCCTCTCTCCTCCACATCAGATCTGTCTCTCCTTTCCACTCTTTCTCCTGTTGACCTTCCCGCAGATTCACACTATCGCCGATCGCATGCTGACCTTGTGCGTCACACTGGGGGAGTTCCCCAACATCACCTACAAGGTACCAAGAGGGAGGAGGATCCAGTCGGGCTGACAGAAAGTTTGCAAAGAAAGCTGCAAGTGCTGAGTTTGACATGGTTGAGAAGATAGCGAAAGCTCTGCAAGTCAGCCTGGTCCGCATTTTTCAGTCTGCTCCCTCTCACCCTTACGAAGTTTCCTGGCAGTCAAACTTTGACAAGCAGATCGTGGAAGGGAATAGTTGGTGGCAGGTGGAAGAGCTTTCTCTGTTATGAGCCTCGGTTTCTCACATGCTCATCAGCCGAAAAGATCTGAACCTGCAAACATCTTGATCGTCGACAGGAGGTCGGAGGCAGGAGGGTTATCAGACATTGACGTTTCGTTCAGCTTTGACGCCTTGACGCCGTTGATGCACGAATACACTTACCAGGCAAGGTGCTTGCTTGTTGGGGTTGAAGGCTTGACGGAGATACAGGCGATGGTGTATGATCTGATGGAGATGAAGGATTCGAAATACAAGTACACGACAAGCAACGCGAAGGTGACCTGAGATGCCATCGATGCCGTTGGCTAAGTGATGACGACAGGGAGAGGATGTTGAGAAAGTCTCTTCACTAGATGAGTCAGACGCTCTTTGGGTCCAGGTATTAGTCGAGACGTGCAAGATTCAAAAGTTAAAAATCCCCGCAGCTGCGTCACATGCATATTGCAGACGCGATCAACTTTGTTATTGATGAGTTCAATCGTTTTGTGCAGCAGAACAAGGTTTTGCACGGTAGAGAACCCTTATGAAACGGGTAACAAAAGTTGAATAGGCTGCAAATATGGCGAAAGGAGAAGCAAAATCATTAAGAGACTTGAGGTAAGTTGCAAGAGGATGAAGCAATTATCAAGGACAACAGCTCAAACTCATACAGCGAGGCTATCAAATCAATGCCTCAGTTCAAAGACCGTCTCGCCAAATATTCTCTGCACATGGATCTTACAAAGAAGGTGTTTACTATTCCCTCGAGCCCGATCTTGGTGCTGACCGATACCTTAGTGCATGGCCCTTTATGAGCAGAAGTTTCTTGAGAAGGTTTTGAGCCTCGCTGCGTGCTCGCTCCTCTCTCACTCTCACCCCACCAGATTTCCACAGAGGAGCAGAACATGGCGACAGGAGCAGATGCTCAGGGGAAAGCGTTGAAGACCGTCCAGCAGTCGGTCATGAACGTGCTACAGGTTCGGACAGAGCATGTTGACATGAAGCTCTGCCATGACGTGATCGCCTGCCACCATACAGGACGAGCACATCTCCGAGAAAGACAAGCTACGTCTCATCCTCATCTACGTCATCTCACAAGAGGGACTGAGTGAGGTCTGTCGCTCTTCCCGTCTCCTTGTCAACACTGAAGTTCGCTCGGCCAGGCCGACGTTGACAAGCTGGTCAGCTCAGCTCATCTCCAGGTGGGCAGTGCCTCAGCTGGCAAGTTGAGAGTGTGACTTGTGCTCTTAGAACACGAGCTCGGCCCAGAGGATCGTCCAGAATCTCAAGTTGGAAGAAGAGGAGAGGCTGCAGGGGGTGGTGATGATGCGCTTGCCAGGCACCTCAATGTCACTCTGAAGCAAGCACAAGCCAAACCCAAGGGAATGATCTCCAGGTCTGATCTCTCCCTCCTTCCCCTCCCCTCTTTGCTGCTTCACTCTCCCACTTCTTCCTCCTTCACTCTTCTGCTCCTTCCTCCTTGAGTCTCCCGCTCTTCGTCCTCGTCCCTCCTCGCCCATCCGCTGCTCCTGCTTCTGATCTTGCCGACCAGTGGCATGACTGCCGCGTCCAAGCTCTTCCCCTTCATCAAGGCTGATTCGGACAAGAAAAGACCCAAGTGAGCTGGAGGGAGTGAGAAGCAGGAGCAGCGAAGTAAGAGGACCCCATAGGATGGCGACGGACGTGGGATATGATCTGTCTCGATATCGCCCACCCCTCCAATATATCATCCAGGTCTTCTATCTTCCTCCCCCCTCTCTCTTACTGATTGCTACTACTCCTATTGATTGCTACTACTCCTATTGATTGCTACTACTCCTATTGATTGCTACTACTCCTATTGATTGCTACTACTCCTATTGATTGCTACTACTCCTATTGATTGCTACTACTCCTGCTGATGACTACTACCCCCACTGATTGCTTTTCCTTGACTATCATTGCGATCAGGATGCTCTGGAAGGCAAACTCGACCCCAACGAGTACGTGACTACTGCACCTACGTCCTCCAAGTCCCAGGCCGAGACAAATAGCAACGGACCATCGCGCAACCCCCGAAACAAGGTGACTGACTGCCTGGCTCGTCCTTTAGCTCCTCGTCCTTGTCCTCGAACTCCTCGTCCTTGTCCTCGTGGTCGTGGTCGTGGCTTTCCTTCCTCTGACATGTCAAAGGCTTCTTGGGCTGACAAGTCTGCGATCCGCCGGGACGAGCCCAAGGAGGCGAGCAAGAGCAAGGCCGGTAGGAAGCAGCGGCGTGCGGCCACGAGGGCTGAGGGTTGTGCTCAGGCCCGCGGCTGATCGTGCTGGTGGTTGGAGGGCTCGCGTACTCAGAGCTGCGAGCTGCCTACGAGATGACGACGAAGTTCAACAGGCAGAAGAACTTGCGAGCTGGCTGGCAGCTGACGCTTTTGATGCAGGGAGATCATCATCGGGTCTACGGAGATGATGGTGTTTCTTCTTTCCTTCCCTCCTCCTGCCTCACCCTCACTCCACCTCCTCTTCCCTTCCCTGCTTCTGCCGCTACTCTCACTCCAGCTCCTCTTCCCTTCCCTCCTCCTGCCGCTACTCTCCTCATTCTTGCTCATCAACGTCTGACAGGCACCTGAGGCTTTTCTCGACTCTCTTGCCGTCTTGAGTGAACCGACAGTCTAACGAGCCGCTATCTCGTCCTCCTTCAATTAACGGGGAGAGAGGAAAGCAGTCCCGACATCGATAGCAGCTCGAGACGGAGGACGACAGAGGAGGAGTGGGTTATTTGCGATCCTGCTGGGGTGGAGCTGGGGTCTTCCAGTTAGAGTACTTGAGAGAGTCAATGTATAAAGTAAAGACAGTTCAATCCTTCTCTTCGTCTCGGATATTTCCCTCTCCCGTCAGAGTTCCCTGGTCTGTCTTTCTGCCTGCCTGCCTGCCTGTCCCTCTGTCTCTGTCTCTGTCTCTCACTCACTCACTCACTCACTCTCACTCTGTCCGATACGGTCTGTCTCTGTCTCTGTCTCTGTCTCTGTCTCTGTCTCTGTCTGTCTGTCTGTCTGTCTGTCTGTCTGTCTGTCTGTCTGTCTGTCTGTCTGTCTGTCTGTCTGTCTGTCTGTCTGTCTGTCTGTCTGTCTGTCTGTCTGTCTGTCTGTCTGTCTGTCTGTCTGTCTGTCTGTCTGTCTGTCTGTCTGTCTGTCTGTCTGTCTGTCTGTCTGTCTGTCTGTCTGTCTGTCTGTCTGTCTGTCTGTCTGTCTGTCTGTCTGTCTGTCTGTCTGTCTGTCTGTCTGTCTGTCTGTCTGTCTGTCTGTCTGTCTGTCTGTCTGTCTGTCTGTCTGTCTGTCTGTCTGTCTGTCTGTCTGTCTGTCTGTCTGTCTGTCTGTCTGTCTGTCTG